CGGGCAGCCGAGCTTGGAGCGGCATCAAAGCGGTTGCTGCACCCCCGTGCCTGCCTGGGGCCGTTCGCACCCTCTGCTGTGGACCTGGAAGGGCTAAAATTCCGCCTCCATTCKTGGCCTTTYGCTGTGGATTTGTGTCTTGACGCCKGGGCTGAGCCGAGCCGAGCTGCTCTGGGATATCTCAGCCTTTGCTGGGGTTTCTCCGTGCCTGTTGCAGCGCTCTGGGATATCCCAGCGTCCCCGTTCCTGCTGGCCGTGCCCGTGCTCCTCCTGGCACCAGAGCCAAACCTCRTGTCCCCCTCGTCCTTTGCTGTTTCCCGCTGTCAAAATGTGGAAGAGGAAAAACCCCATCCCGAGGGCCAGCAGCTCCATTCCCAGCGTTTGAAACTTCAGCCTTTATAATTTTTTTTTTTTTTTGAGTTTTTGGTGCTGCCGTGTCCCGTTGAGCCGTGACCCTGTTGGGAGCGAGGCCACACGTCCCCGAGTCCGAGTGGTGCCATGTTTGTGTCGCAGAGTGTGGAGTTCTTGGCTTGCCGTCGCACTGTAGACCCCGAGTGTGCCCCACGCTTCGATCCCCCCGGTTTTTCCTTTTCATTCCCCACGTCCTCGTGCTTGTCTTCCATCCTTTTGTCTGTCCCCATCCCTTTGTGTCGCCTGTAACCCGAAGGAAACCCGAGTAATATATTTTTATATGTATAACAAATGATTTTATTTGAAGGGAAAAAACAACCCACTCCCACCCAYCCCCGAGTAATGTATCCCCCCAAAATCCAGCTTTCATTTAGGGAAGTGAGAGAAGAAATTGTTTATATCTCTATATATAAATATAAATATATATATATATATATAAAAGTTAACTGCGTTAAGCTTTAAATAAAGTATTTAAATAAAGAGTTGCTGAGCTGTTGGTGTCACCCTCTGGGGCAGCACAATTCCCTCTGGAGCCTCTGTAAAAACCTGCTTGAGGTGCAAAATGCAAAATCCCTTTTCCTTTTTTTTCTCCAGGATGGGAAAAGGGAAGGAAATATTTTCCATGAAGGAGGAGGTGAGGGCCTCTTTCCAGGTGGGATAAATTCCAGGGAAGGTTTTGTGGGGTGGCTTTTTGGGGCTGCCCTTGGGTGCTGCCCGGGCTCCTGGGATCACGGAATTCCTGCTGGCGTTCCTTAGGAAGGTTGGGATCTTGGCTGGTGGCTCCACCTGAGCTTTGTGGTGGGAAATCCAGCTCGGATCGCTCAAAACGSTGCTTTTCACCTCCTCCAGGTGATCTGGGCTGTCCCTTTCAGGTTTCCCTTCCCTCCTTGSCAARTCCWTGGYGAATTCCCGAAGGAAGCAGCAGCAYCWGGGATGTGCTCACWCCACAAATCCACCATGGCTGTTTTCTTATCCCCCCTGGGGGAGGCTGCTCCTCTTCCAGGCAGGAAAACTCCCTCAGTGCTGAAGATGAGAAGGGATCGAGCTGATGGCAGCTGCAGGTTCCAGAGTGGAGCATCCCGTGCTCCGTGTCCCCTCCTGTCCCYCCATCGTGATCCCAAACTCCCCAGGAATATTTGGGAATGATAAGGCTCCCAAATTCCCGGGAAATTTTGGGATTTGAAAGGTCCCAAAGTCCCAGGGAAGTTTTGAGAATGAAAAGGTTCCAAAACTCGCTGGGAATTTTTGGGAATGAAAAGGTCCCAAATTTCCCGGGAAGCTTTGGGAATTAAAAGACTCCCAAACTCTGCAGGAAACTTTAGGAGTGAAAATGTTCCAAAAATCCCTGGGAAGCTTTGGGAATGAAAAGGCTCCCAAACTCCCCAGGAAACTTTGGGAGTGAAAATGTCCCAAACTCCCCGGGAAGCTTTGGGAATGAAAAACCGCTCCCAGCCTATTGTTTACGGTGGGTTGTCCCGCGGCTGAGCCGTTAAATGGGAATTTAACGGGCAGCCAGGAAAGCAGCTGGAATTTATGGATTTCAGGGCGTGCGTGGTGTTCCCATCCCAGTGATTTTCCCGGTTTTTTTTTTTAATTTCCCAAGAGCTGTGTCCGCGCCCCCAGAACCCTTGGAGAAGTGCCCGATATTCGTTTTTCCAGGTGATTTGGAAGCCGCGTTGGGGCGCTGAGCTCGCCATTCCACATTTTGGGATTCTCCCGGCGCAGTGTCGCAGCTTCCTCTAGCGGCCGTGCGGGAAACGGTTCCAGAGGAGGATCCAGGTTTGGATTGGGAGGAGGTGGGGATG